AACCTCACCCATGTGAATCAAAGTAATATACATTATACATATCTGCCTGTTTAATACCTTATAGGTTAAGAGAACGCAGTAATTAATCGAGGCCTAGTTCATTTACGACGATCAGTATAAAATGAACTTCTCCTCTCTGGGATCCTGTTCAATACATAAATGTACTAGTGCAACTAATCAGTCAAGACAAACTGTACAGTTGACACTACAATCGTTCGGATGGGGTGTTCATGTCCATCTAGGTTGTGAACAACTATTCTTGTTCGCACGTGACTGATAGAGTGATCTTCGGTTCGCCCGATGATGACCCACCCTATCTAAGTGCAGAACAACAGAACGTAGAACTTGTTTAATCTAACATGATTCTCATTCATAAAGGGTAAATGTGTAATAACATGCAAAGCCAAGCTTTCAATATATAACACTAACATTTCTATCACTTTCACCCTCATATTTGTTTTATAAATTCTATTTAAGTTATGAAATGTCGAGTGATCGTGGTCGTGGTGGACATGGAGGACGGCCACGAAAGAAAAAAAAAATGTAGCATCTACAAGTGGTCAACCTCTATTGCCGACGCCGATGATATACCCGGACGTTCCGGGTGTACCTAAAAAACATGGAGCTCGGGGAAGTTCAACGCATTTTTAAATCTGTTGAAGACAGTTCAAGGACGACGAGGACCTAGAGTTGTGTAGCGATTACGATGTTACTCAAGGTCAACCTCAACGGACAGCTGCCTGCGTGGTTGGAGGTCGACAATGGACATCCGACATATTTACAAGACATTTCATGAAGGTGCCCGATAAAAAAAAAAGGTGACAAACATTTTATATGTATTTGCAACCATTGTCTGCAACGCTAAGAAGAGGTACACTTTTCAAAACCGACAATGGGTACGGAACCATGGAAAGACACGTATGAACCTATCATCAGTCCAAAATGGGGATTCTCACAACCCAAATGCAAGTTCCGATAAGTAGCACTGCATTTGCGATTGGAACAAGTTATTCTTCTTCTTTCTTTAATACTCTCCTGAATACTACTAGGGGTGCACAAAATCCGGTTAACCGAACCAAACCGAATTTTCGGTTTGGACTGAAACCGAAATCAAATATTCGGTTTCAGTTTATATTTTTTTTAGATTCCGGTTTTCGGTTCAATTTAAATACACATGATCGATTATCCAAATCAATTTGTTTTATATATCTAGGAGCGCAACCAATTCAGTTTATACACATTATCTATCTATATATTTAGGAGCGCAACCCATTTGTTTTATATATTTAGGAGCCCAACTCATTTTGTAGATAAATAAAAAAACCAAACTAATTAATACCTAAATTAAAGTAAAATAAATTAAAAAAAAACACTCATCTCTCATTTCTCATTTCTCAATATATCAGTCTCCAATCTCAGGCCACGACAGACACTCATTCAAAATACCTAATTTTCAAAAAGTCACACACGACGCACGCTCGGTGGTGAAATTGGTTTTGGTTGTGCAATTGGTTTCTTTTGTTATATTTTGCTACATTGAAGAAGTACATTACTTTGCTGCTACTTGATTTTGTTGGAGCCAACTGCCAAGGCCCAAGGATTCTTGTTATTTGGACTAATTACTGCTGCAACTTGATTTTGCTACATTGAAGTACATTACTGCTGCTATTTGTTTTTGTTTTTGCTCAATTAATTAATTATTAATTATTTATTGCAATAAACCGATAACCGAACCGAAACAAACCGACCGATAAATTTTCGGTTAAAACCGAAGCGAACCATAAAATTTTGATTTCGGTTGGGTTTTCGATTTATGTAACGGATAAACCGAATTTTCGGTTAACTGAAAATTCGGTCTGCTCGGTTTGGTTTTAACCGAATGTGCACCCCTAAATACTAAAGACGTAATCTAGATGAATTTATTTTCGTAAAGCTGATGAAATACAGACTAATACTATTTTGGAGGTTTTGGGACAATACCAGAAGCTTACTGGTCAAAAGGTTAATATGAGAAAATCTACAATGTTTTTTAGTAAGAATTGTTCTGAGGAAGTGAAATCTAAGTTGTGCTCTATTTTCAAAGATGTGGTGGTCAAAAGGTCTTCTAAATACCTAGGGTTGCCCCGGGGGATTGCAGCTTCTAAAAAGGAGACTTTCCACTTTTTTATTGAGGCAGTTAGGAACACAATTGGCTGTTGGGCTAATAATTTCTTATCTGTTGCTGGCAGGGAAGTGCTAGTGAAGGCTGTTCTGAATGCTTTGCTAGTGTTTTGTAATGTCTTGCTTTATTTTGCCTGTTGGGGTGTGTAGAGAGGTCAGTAAGCTTATAGCTAAGTTTTGGTGGTGCAAGGGTGATATACAACGGACTGGGATGCACTGGAAATCATGGGACAAACTTGCCTTACCTAAGTCTGAGGGTGCTCTTGGATTCCAAGACATCGTATTGTTCAATAGAGCTCTTATTTTGAAATATGTCTGGAGGATCTTCTCACAGAAGGACCTGTTGGGATAGTGCTTTAATCAAAGCTTTATTCAAGGAAGAAGATGCTGAGGAAATTATAAAAATCAAGGGATTGAACCATAGAGTTGATGATGTGCTGAAATGCTCCTTCTTTGATAAAGGGAAGTTTTCTGTGAAAGTTGGGTATACTATGTTGCTAAATGCAAAGATCTGCTCTATCTCTGATGCAGAATAGGCCTGCCATGGGAAATTATCGAGCAAGAAGAAGGTGTTGGCAGCTGAAAGTATTGGGGAAAGTCAAACATTTTATATGGCGGTGTTTCAACAATATCCTCACTGTTAGAAAAAATCTAAGGAAAATAAGATTACAAGTAGTTGTTGAGTGTCCAACCTGTTGAGAGGCTACGAAAACTCAAGAATATATGCTTTTCCGTTGTACACGAGTTCAGTATATATGGAAGTTGTCACCATTGCAATGGAACATAATGCATAAGGAGAATTCATCATGTAAGGAATGGTGGTAGTGGGTTAGTACAATGAAATTGGATGAGGTCTCCGAAGATAGAATCCAACTGTCTACATACATTTTATGGTGGCTTTGGAGAGCCTGAAATCTTTGGGTGTTTGAGCAAGTGTGGATGCCGGAAACAGAAATTGTTAAAGCTGCTTGTAGAGACTGGAATGATTTCAAAGACAGGAAGATGGATTGACGATTGGAAGCTAGATGGTACAGCCTAGGTCAAGTGTCTGTACCTTCTTTCTCGATTTGTTATGTATTTTGTGCCTGTTTATGTTGTATTGTCTCAGGTGTGTGTTTTGGTTAGTCTGTTAGTTTGAACTGATTTGGGTAGATATAGTAGCGGTATTGTGTTTATTACTGTATTGGCTCGGTTAGGCAGTGCCATGGGGGTTCTGACCTCTCAATGTCTTCGGATTGGGGTTTTGCCCTATGTACATTGCTATTTGTTTTTTCTATGAGAAAGTGTTTGTGCCGTTTCAAAAAAAAAAAAAAAAAAAATTAGATTGTTTGATTTTTAATTTCTCTTCTTGTCTTGGAATATACGTGCAAAATAATCCGACTAGTCTTCCTTGAATTACGACCCGAGAATTGATTCCTTCGAATTAACTTCGGTAAAAAGAATTGTAACAAAAGGCAAATATGATATTAATATGTTTACATTTGTTTTTTAAAAGCAATTTATGAGAAAAAATGGACAATTAAAGTAGAAAAATTGATTCCACTAATGTTGATTTATAAGATTCTCCTTATCTCCTCTATATATAATTTCAGAATGCACTGAGCCTACGTGGCAAACTCTCATGCTTCGGAATCTTATTTGGAAAAAAACCATGTTTTGGAGTTAGGTTGGATATAAACGGAAATGCTCCCCTACCCACGGTGGGCATATTAACATGTGCCCACCGTGGGTAGGGGAGTATTTCCCTGGATAAAAATTAATATCTTTTATCACACTAAACCCATGATTAATTTTTTCCATCTTTACTTCTACAATTAGTTACCATAAACTATTTTATATTTCATTTTCCTACATTACCTTACATCCCATTTCATTTTCTTATATAATTCTTTCATTAGTTTTTATAAATGTTTCTTCTTCTTATTTTAAGATTTTATAACTTTTTTGTTCGTATTTTATTTTTCATATATGATATATCAAATTAACTGTCTTTTAACGATTTTCGATTTGACATCCATATTATATATATAAAATAGAAAACAGTAATATATATTCTTATAAATAGAATTTAAATTTATTTACCAAACTAAATTAAATGATATCAAATAAAACTATAAATGATATTATAAAGTAATAGAAATTGGTATGTATTCTTTTAAAAATGATATTTATTTCAAATCTAATTGGTATGTCGTCAATCTAATAAAATTAAATAATTATTTATCTAAATTCTAAAATTACATATAAAGTTAAAAGACTGTGAAGCACGACTGATACGACATTTTCATTTAATGTACGTGTGTTTATGTAGCGCCCCGTTCGAATAATAGAATTTTTATGTGATTATTTGGATTTTATGAAATTTCATGGTATTATTTTATTTCGGATATTTTTGGCATTATTGTTATTATAATTTATTTTATTAAATTGCCAAAGTGGAATAATTGCTTGATAATATATTTATTATTGTGTGCATAATAAATATATATTGTCGGATTAATTATTTAATTTTTCCGGATGTCGTACTTTTTTTAATTTTCGGGCCGTCGCATTTTATTTTTCTGAGTGTTGTATGAATATCGGAGCATATAAATCGAGCCCGAGGAACCGGTAGCCGAAGCTGGCCCATGCGCCCGTGAAACCGTCCAAACCCGGCAAAAACCCGCTCTCCCAAGAACTGACCTGACTCCCTTTGGCTTGGATAGCAAGACACTCTCTTTTAAATCTAAGTCCTTTCAATCGTGAAATTCTACCTTAATCTCGCCGCTCCATCATTCTCTCATAACTCTCGTCACTCTCATCTCTCTTGCACAAGGAACAGAAGAAGAAAGATCTCCCTCTCAATCATCGTCGCTCTCGTCATCCTTATAAAAAAGAAAAAAAAAAAGGAGAAGAAGAGAAATCGATCGCTCATCTTCCTCTCATTTGTTACCCGCAAGCTCCCTCCTCCACGTGAAAACTGGCAGCCTCCACTCGCGATCACCCCCTCCGATGGTTCCTCTGTCGCGAAGGTCTCGCAAACCAGTTCACCGACGAGTTCTTCCCTGCTCGCGAGAAGCACCACCGCGAGCCACCAGCCGCAGCACCTCCCGACCGCTGTTGTTCCGCCCCAGTCGCGCGTTTCAGGCCACCGCGAGCAGCCGTCCCTCAGCTGCTGCTCCTCCACGCGAAGAACCGGCGACTCACGCCCCACCGTGAACGTGCCGCTAGTCACGCACCCGCTTCCGAGCGCCGCCGTGTGCCCCTCTTCCGACTCGTTTTCGAGTATCAATCCCGAGAACGGTAGTCGATGGCTTAAACCCTTTTTATTTCGTGTGAATATATGAGATTTCACATTAATATGCTAGGGTTTTATATACGTGTTGATTATGTGATGTTCTTCGTTGAATCGTGTTGACGTCTTCTTGAGTTCATGTTAATCGTGAAACCCTCGCCTTATGATTACGTGTTATTCATGTGAGAATGATGTTTAAATGTTGTTTTTGGGTATGTCATGCGAATTTGCTGCCTCTGTTGTTCTGCTATAATGATCCTCAAGAACTCGTTTTATGAAGATGTGGTCTTCATATGAAACGTAGCTTACTCTGTTGTCTTTCAGTGAGTTTTAGAATTTTGGAAATCCAATTTGAAGCGAGTGAGTTATGATTTTTACAAAATTGTCGCGCAAGCAGTTTTCAATAAAACCCGGCAGCTTGGATTTACTTTATGTCTGGAAGTTTTTCGATGTCTATATGTGCTCAAACTGAAAAGTGGTCTTCATAAAAATTGTAGTCTTACTTCTTTGCTGTCTATTGGTGTTTCGATCATGTCATTTGAATATCTGTAGCATGAGTTAGACTCTAATAACTGAGGTGTTGTATGTAACATGAATTGGTTTCGAGCAGAGTTTATGAACTGAATGTTTTGTGTTTAAACTCATTGATAACGTCATTATTTGCCAATAGGGTCTTCAGCAAAGTTGTAGATAATTGAGTTAGCTGCACTGTGGTTTTTGAAATCTAATTAAAGCATGTCTGTAGCTAGACATGGCCAAGGGCCGCCCGGCCCGCCGACCCGGCACGGACCCTGCCCAGTCAAACCCATTGACCACGGGTCTAGGACCGGCCCGGATTTCAGACGGGCCATATAAGGTTCATCCATTTCATGACCCGGCTCGACGGGTCCGGGCCCGGGCCGGGTCGATGACCCTCCTTTTCTTTTCTTTTTTTTCTATTGTTTTTTAAAAAAGTAACGGACCCAGCCCGGACACGAACCCGACACGAGTATAGGTCCGTGCCGGTTGAGGGTCAGTATTTTCGAGCCCAGCGGGCCGGGCTGGGCCGTGACCCGGCCCGTGTTTTAGCCATGTCTATCTGTAGCTTCATTTATCCTGCAAATACTGAGTTCCTGTCAGCTGTAAGATTTAAATTGTTAACTGCAACTCGGTTTTAAATGTTTGAGGTATTATCTCTTAGTAGATGACCTTATCTGTTGTCGATGTCTTCATAAAAGTTGTAGAGGCATGTCTTAGGATTTACATGCAACTGGATTCATGTTAATGTGACTTATGTGCTGCAAGTTATGTCGATTTAAAAATCGCTGCGGGGGTTAAGTTTTGAAAAACTTATAATGTGTTTTCGAAAATAAAAATTTACTTTTTATGCATGCTTATATGACTTATATGGGTTGAGTTGAACTAAGAGTTGATCTTAGATGCCTTAAGTTAGATATCCTTGTGTCGGACAGTTATTGATAGAATTATTATAATTAATGTAGGTATTTGACGAGCCGTGCTATCATCCTACCGGCTCTTGAATATTATTTGCTACTTCGGAATCTAGGTGAGTTTTATTTGAAATTCACTATGCAATAAATTATTTCCTTACGTGTGGTATGATCAATGTATGCATGTGAACCATGTAGCCTTCGATGTGAGCTGTATCGGCCGTCGAACGGTTATCTCGTGGCTAATAATACAAACCCGTGGGGTTTACTTCTACTGACTAGACATCGATGGAAGCCCAAGGGGTGATCCGGTGTAAAGCCTGAGCGAAGGCGTACGACGTAGAGCTCGAGGGAAATTCAATGTAAGACCTGGGCGAAGGCATGCGATACGTCTCGCAGTAGTAGTCTATGCGTAGGTGTGCACATGAGTCTTGACACTGTGAATTTATGATGAAATATTGGGATACATGATTGATTCATATACATGCTACGATCATGTTGGTTGATATTATGTTTGTGTTTATTGCATAGTAGTGAGCACTACTGTTTCCATATGTGCTCACTCCCACCTGAAATTAACCTTTCAGGTTGAGCAGGGGAGGCACGATGGCAGAGAGGAGCGAATAGTGGTCGGTCTATATGACTGGGTCATTAATTGTTGCTTCCGCTACCTAAGAATTGATTTATGATATTTGAATTTATGAACTCTGTGATTTATGAATATTGAGAATAATGCGGGGGAGACACCCCTTTGACACTGTGAAAATTTATGGAAAACCAGTTTGGGTGAACGATGATTTTATGAACCCGTTTTGGGAGTTGGATTTTATGACGGATGCTATGAATATATTGATAGATGTTGATATTAAATGAGTAACGCTATAATATTAACATTTGTGGCTTTTTCTATTATAGGGTTTGACTTTTAGTTATTGTGTCACAATAAGGCCTGATTTTTCAACTTTTTCATTTGAGGGTTTCAATTATAAGTTATTGTCAATATAAGGCCTACTTTTACATTCTACTTTTCAATTTAAAACTCCAAATCATTTTGTATTTTGATACAATTATGTAAACCACAATACACATTTTTTCTTAAAAAAAACAAATATAAATAATTAGAAATATTTTTACAAAAATAATTTCATAAGAAAATCAATTCAAATAAGAAATATTTTTAGTCAAATAATTTAATAAGAAAATTAACTCATTTAAGCTAAATTTATATTGCATAAATGTAACTAATTTGTATTAATTTTCATACGAAACTAGTTTTACAAATATATTTAATACTTTTATTATAGGCTTTAATTAATTTATATATTCTTAACTGTATAAAAAATATGAATTTTATTAACAAATAATATTTTATATATGTTTATTTAAAAAAAATAAAATTATTATTTTTTAAATAGCTTATATTTTAATTTTATCACATATTTGATTAAAATTAAGCTAAAAATCATTTTTAAATTTTAAAATAAATTTTTATAGGCTTTTTCATAGATGTAAATCGTGAAATAAATATTTTATTAGGTAATTTTATTAAAGATATGGAAAAAAATTAAAAGAAAAAGGAAAAAAATTTACGAAAGATATTTAATATTTTTTTTATTATAAGTACTTAAATAATAATTTTTTTAAAAGAGTATTGTGGTTTATATAATTATATCAAAATACAAAGTGATTAGGAGTCTTAAATTGAAAAGTAAAATGTAAAAGTAGGCCTTATATTGAGAATAACTTAAAATTGAAACCTTCAAATGAAAAAGTAGAAAATTCAGGCCTTATTGTGACACAATAGCAAAAAGTCAAGCCTTACAATGGAATTTTTCCGATTAACAAAATATAATTTGATAATTTAATTAAAACTCAAAGTAATGTTTTATATAAAATTAAACTATTTTAGTTTTTATAAAAATAAAAAATTAATATTTTTTACAAAAGCTTTCTAATTCAACACCCGCGTAATATACGGGTATTGTACTAGTATATATAATTTCAGAACGCGTTGAGACTAAGTGATAGCTTCGAATAATAGAATTTATGTGATTATTTGGATTTTATGAAATTTCATGGTATTATTTTATTTCGGATATTTTTGGCATTATTGTTATTATAATTTATTTTATTAAATTGCCAAAGTGGAATAATTGCTTGATAATATATTTATTATTGTGTGCATAATAAATATATATTGTCGGATTAATTATTTAATTTTTCCGGATGTCGTATTTTATTTAATTTTCGGGCCGTCGCATTTTATTTTTCTGAGTGTTGTATGAATATCGGAGCACATAAATCGAGCCCGAGAAACCGGTAGCCGAAGCTGGCCCATGCGCCCGTGAAACCGCCCAAACCCAGCAAAAACTCGCTCGCCCAAGAACTGACCCGACTCCCTTTGGCTTGGATAGCAAGACACTCTCTTTTAAATCTAAGTCCTTTCAATCGTGAAATTCTACCTCAATCTCGCCGCTCCCTCATTCTCTCATAACTCTCGTCACTCTCATCTCTCTTGCGCAAAGAACAGAAGAAAAAAGATCTCCCTCTCAATCATCGTCGCTCTCGTCATCCTTATAAAAAAGAAAAAAAAAAAAGAAAGAGAAGAAGAGAAATCGATCGCTCATCTTCCTCTCATCTGTTACCCGCAAGCGCCCTCCTCCACGTGAAAACTGGTAGCCTCCACTCGCGATCACCCCCTCCGATGAGTACTTCCGTCGCGAAGGTCTCGCAAACCAGTTCACCGACGAGTTCTTCCCTGCTCGCGAGAAGCACCACCGCGAGCCACCAGCCGCAGCACCTCCCGACCGCTGCTGTTCCGCCCCAGTCGCGCATTTCAGGCCACCGCGAGCAGCCGTCCCTCAGCTGTTGCTCCTCCACGCGAAGAATCGGCGACTCATGCCAAACCGTGAACGTGCCGCTAGTCACGCACCTGCTTCCGAGCGCCGCCGCGTGCCCCTCTTCCGACTCGTTTTCGAGTATTAATCCCGAGAACGGTACTCGATGGCTTCAACCCTTTTTATTTCGTGTGAATATATGAGATTTCACATTAATATGCTAGGGTTTTATATACGTGTTGATTATGTGATGTTCTTCGTTGAATCGTGTTGACGTCTTCTTGAGTTCTTGTTAATCGTGAAACCCTTGCCTTATGATTACGTGTTATTCATGTGAGAATGATGTTTAAATGCTGTTTTTTGGTATGTCATGCGAATTTGCTGCCTCTGTTGTGCTGCTATAATGATCCTCAAGAACTCGTTTTATGAAGATGTGGTCTTCATATGAAATGTAGCTTACTCTGTTTTCTTTCAGTGAGTTTTGGAATTTTGGAAATCCAATTTGAAGCGAGTGAGTTATGATTTTTACAAAATTGTCGCGCAAGCAGTTTTCAATAAAACCCGGCAGCATGGATTTACTTTATGTCTGGAAGTTTTTCGATGTCTATCTGTGCTCAAACTGAAAAGTGGTCTTCATAAAAATTGTAGCCTTACTTCTTTGCTGTCTATTGGTGTTTCGATCATGTCATTTGAATATTTGTAGCATGAGTTAGACTCTAATAACTGAGGTGTTGTATGTAACATGAATTGGTTTCGAGCAGAGTTTATGAATTGAATGTTTTGTGTTTAAACTCATTGATAACGTCATTATTTGCCAATAGGGTCTTCAACAAAGTTGTAGATAATTGAGTTAGCTGCACTGTGGTTTTTTACATCTAATTAAAAGCATGTCTGTAGCTAGACATGGCCAAGGGCCGCCCGGCCCGCCGACCCGGCCCTGACCCAGCCCAGACCCGGCACGGACCCTGCCCAGTCAAACCCATTGACCACGGGTCCAGGACCGGCCCGGATTTCAGACGGCCCGTATAAGGTTCATCCATTTCATGACCCGGCTCGACGGGTCCGGGCTGGGCCGGGTCGATGACCTTCCTTTTCTTTCTTTTTTTTTTCTATTGTTTTTTAAAAAAGTAACGGACCCAGCCCGGACACGAACCCGACACGAGTATAGGTCCGTACCGGTTCAGGGTCAGTATTTTCGAGCCCAGCAGGCCGGGCTGGGCCGTGACCCGGCCCGTGTTTTGTCCATGTCTATTTGTAGCTTCATTTATCCTGCAAATACTGAGTTCCTGTCAGCTGTAAGATTTAAATTGTTAACTGCAACTCGGTTTTAAATGTTTGAGGTTCTAAATGTTAGAGGCATGTCTTAGGATTTACATGCAACTGGATTCATGTTAATGTGACTTATGTGCTGCAAGTTCTGTCGATTTAAAAATCGCTGCGCGGGTTAAGTTTTGAAAAACTTATGTTGTGTTTTCGAAAATAAAAATTTACTTTTTATGCATGCTTATATGACTTATATGGGTTGTGTTGAACTAAGTGTTGATCTTAGATGCCTTAAGTTAGATATCCTTGTGTCGGACAGTTATTGATAGAATTATTATAATTAATGTAGGTATTTGACGAGCCGTGCTATCATCCTACCGGCTCTTGAGTATTATTTGCTACTTCGGAATCTAGGTGGGTTTTATTTGAAATTCGCTATGCAATAAATTATTGCCTTACGTGTGGTATGATCAATGTATGCATGTGAACCATGTAGCCTTCGATGTGAGCTGTATCGGCCGTCGAACGGTTATCCCGTGGCTAATAAAACAAACTCGTGGGGTTTACTTCTACTGACTTGACATCGATGGAAGCTTGAGGGGCGATTCGGTGTAAAGCCTGAGCGAAGGCGTACGACGTAGAGCTCGAGGGAAATTCAATGTAAGACCTGGGCGAAGGCATGCGATACGTCTCGCAGTAGTAGTCTATGCGTAGGTGTGAACATGAGTCTTGACACTGTGAATTTATAATGAAATATTGGGATACATGACTGATTCATATACATGCTACGATCATGTTGGTTGATATTATGTTTGTGTTTATTGCATAGTGGTGAGCACTACTGTTTCCATATGTGCTCACTCCCACCTGAAATTAGCCTTTCAGGTTGAGTAGGGGAGGCACGACGGCAGAGAGGAGCGAATGGTGGTCGGTCTATATGACTGGGTCATTAATTGTTGCTTCCGCTACCTAAGAATTGATTTATGATATTTGAATTTATGAACTCTGATATTTATGAATGTTGAGAATAATGCGGGGGAGATGCCCCTTTGACACTGTGAAAATTTATGGAAAACCAGTTTGGGTGAACGATGATTTTATGAACCCGTTTTGGGAGTTGGATTTTATGACGGATGCTATGAATATGTTGATAGATGTTGATATTAAATGAGTAACGCTATAATATTAACATTTGTGGCTTTTTCTATTATAGGGTTTGACTTTTAGTTATTGTGTCACAATAAGGCCTGATTTTTTAACTTTTTCATTTGAGGGTTTCAATTATAAGTTATTGTCAATATAAGGCCTACTTTTACATTCTACTTTTCAATTTAAGACTCCAAATCATTTTGTATTTTGATACAATTATGTAAACCACAATACACATTTTTTTTAAAAAAAAACAAATATAAATAATTAGAAATATTTTTACAAAAATAATTTCATAAGAAAATCAATTCAAATAAGAAATATTTTTAGTCAAATAATTTAATAAGAAAATTAACTCATTTAAGCTAAATTTATATTGCATAAATGTAACTAATTTGTATTAATTTTCATACGAAACTAGTTTTACAAATATATTTAATACTTTTATTATAGGCTTTAATTAATTTATATATTCTTAACTGTATAAAAAATATGAATTTTATTAACAAATAATATTTTCAATATGTTTATCTAAAAAAAATAAAATTATTCTTTTTTTAAATAGCTTATATATTTTAATTTTATCACATATTTTGATTAAAATTATGCTAAAAATCATTTTTAAATTTTAAAATAAATTTTATTAAGCTTTTTCATAGATGTAAATCGTGAAATAAATATTTTATTAGGTAATTTTATTTAAGATATGGAAAAAAATTAAAAAAAAAAAAAGGAAAAAAATTTACGCGGTTCACGCGTATCGCGTGTCCTCGCGTTGCGCAGTTTCCTCGCGCGCGGCCATCCTTAGCCTCACTCGCATAGCCTCGGCGCCCTTCTCGTGCATTACCACGCCTATTCGCACGGCTTAGAAAGGTCGATGACCACATCTTCATCAACGGGTGATGCGCGGGACGGCACAGGGACGTGGGACACGCACGCGGGCGGCACGGGCAGTACACAGGCGCGGGACAGAGACCTGGGAAAACAGACAAGAAAAGAATGACACCCAAACCTTTTTAAAATTGACTCGATCGGTTTAAATGAAACTTGGACACATGCAAGAGGACTCAAAAACACACAATTGCACCAAAGGTTGACCCTTAGAAATCATTTTAACCCAGAGAACTCATGTTTGCAAAATAATTTACACAATCTGAATTTCCAAGTTCAATAAGCTACAAGAAAAGTTTTGACCTAAAATTTTAACACAATAACAAGCATGCCAAAATATCACAGACCTCCAAAATTCAACTGAAAAAGACGAGCCAATGGTTTATATCGATTTTACAAGAAACAAGGCAGAATTTCAAATCATCAGAACACATAGCTACAGTTTGAATTTTTAATTGAACTTTTTACACAATGACCCTAATCAACACAAGAACATACCCTCAAAAAGTCATTTAATTTGGCCGCGTATAAAATTTTATATCATTTTTCCCATTTTCAGAGACTAGGTCAATATCAAAAATTCATATATGACTCAATACTCATCAAAATCGACCAAGGCCTTCACCATAAGGCCAAGGACACTCAAGTGTCCCACCACAGGAATTAATGAATTTCAAACGGATCCAATGATTTCGTCACAAATCAAAATAGATCACCCAAATAAACAATTAATACAATCAATTTTTAATGCAAACACAAAGAGTCTCAACATGTATCATATAAACACATAAAAATATAGGGTATAAGCTATCTATACCGTTCACCAAAGGGGACCACACCAAGTGAACGAGAGAGGGGTTGAGCTAATGGTGCGCGCACACGACGGGGCTCGGCGACGTTCGCGTGGCTTGCCTTGGTCGTTGCTGCGAGAGGGTGGATGGCAGCGATGAACGGTCTGCTGGTCGTGGAGGAACCGAGGGAGAACGAACAACAATTGGTCGCTCGTTCGTTGCTGGAGTTCCTCGCGGAGACCTCGTGCGGGAAATGAAGGCGCGACGAGTGGTGGCCGCTTGAAGCACAAGGGTGGCGATGGATCCCTTTGATGGGAGGGATGGTTTGCTGATTTTAACGAGTGATATTGGAGAGAAAGGAGAGGGGGAGGAGTTCTGGTGTGCGGCGTAAAAGAGAAGTGAGGGGAAGGTTTAATCGATGGAATATAAGGAGTAGAGGGAGAGATAATAACTTACCTTAATGATCAAGGCAAATCCAAGGAAACCTTACCAAAATAATGCACATGAAGGGAGGGTGTCGTGAATTATGGTTGGTCTCTTGGTCAAGGATTTTATCTCAAAGCCTTAGCCTATGTTTGGTAGACCAATAAGCTAGCTTATAGCTTATTTGGTCAGCTTATAAACTCCATGTATTCAAATAAGTCTCATTTGGTAGGACGAGCTTTTCTAAAAAGTTCGAGCTTATTTGATAAGCTTCTTTAGGTAACTTTTCAAATAAGCTAGTTGAATTTTTTAATTTCAGCTAGCTTATCAGCTAATTTTACCAAACACTTTTACATACAAGCTATAAACTATAAGCTAAAAAATTACTGATAAGCTATAAGCTAGCTTATCATCTATCAGCTAGCTTATCAGCTAGTTTTACCAAACATAGCCTTAGTAAATTTTGAATTTTCAAACAATTCAAAATATCTCCAATTTAATTCAATGAAAGGGGGTAGGTTCAGCTTTAACCAGAAGGTCAGGTCTTCTCAAACTAAAAAGGACGAAGGACACAATATAAGGGCTGGAATGAATCGGTTTGAAGTTCAGGTCGCAGCAGTTCGAAAAAGAATTAAAACGGACAATAATTCGGCTTACGCGATTAAACTGAAAATTCGAACAGTGAACGATAAAATAAAATCGAACGAGCTATATAATTATGTTATCCACAAAATAATATAATATATAAGCACATAATCAAGGTATATAAATAATAAAATAAAATACCATTAATTAAAATAATTCAAAAAAATCCAATATCCGAACGGGACACTACACATACCTCATATAATTATAAATTAAAAAATGATAAAATGACTACTAATTTGGTGTGTTATATATCAATATGGATAAAATACACTATAACTATTGAAGTTTAGGTATAATCATTTTGTTATCGATTTAGTAATATAAATGGCCGAAAAACTTTATTAGTCCATTATATAATTTCTTCTTTAATATCAAGATATGAATATAATTGTGGGATTAATTTCATTAATAATTTATAATTTGTAGGTAAAGTTGATAAAAGGCTAAATAGTTGTTATATTTTAAATAAAATATTAATATATCTTAATATTTGTGTGTGTGTAGTTAGTATGATCCAATAAAATATTAATTTATACAATTTTCAAACTTTAAATTTTTATCAAGCTTAATAATTATTTTATAATTTAAACTAATATGATAATATTATAGGTATCTTACAAAATAGATTTTTTTTTCCAAATTTTTTAATAGTAATATAAAAATTTTATTCTAATTTACCTATCTCATAAAGTTAAATCCTGAAAAAAATAAAAAATAAAAAAATTTAACTGAAATATAAAATTTTCACAAAAAAAAATATATATATATATATGCAAAATTGGTAGAATTTTTTTTTTTTTCATAAATTTAAGAAGCAGGTAATTTAGGGCGAAGAGAATTGGTTTGGAACCTGGACGTGTCCCAAAAACCATGAGGTGCATTAAATTGGTCGTACCCATTACTGAATTTTAACATGCACTTAAAAAGAACTCGAAATATGACTAGTCGAGCATCAACATCTGTACGTGTATTTGCTGACATTATTAGCCCGCCACCAAATTGTCCCCGTCGCCTAAACTTTAGCCTGCTCAAATACGGACATCAAATTTCAACACGCCATTCTTTTTTCAGGGACGGCATTGGGTACGGCTGACTCTATGTTGGCCCGTATAAATTTTATTCACAGTTCAACGCAATCCAAATTAGGGACACTTCTTTAAAAATGCTCAATCCTTTTTTAAATTTTCATGACAGTTCCTAACCATTATTTCTTTCAACTACACTCCCTACCCCTTTATTCAACTTCCATTTAAATCGTTCCTATTAAAATAACTCAAAAAGTGTTAGATTATATATATTTTACATTATATTTTCCTTTTAAGTTTTCATGTAATAGTGTGTATTAGTTGTTGTATGTAAAACAAGCTTTCATTCAGTATTATTTCACTATCAAAAACCCTAAGTATAAATACTAAGGGTCACAAATCTTCCTTTTTTCTATCAGTAATAGATAATTTTTATTCATTTTTCTATCAGTAATAGATAATTTTCCTTTCTCTCTCTATCAGACAATTCTCTCGTCCTTCATTTCTTTCATTCAAATCTGTTACACAGATCAATCTAACATGGTATCATTCGCCAGATTCATCGATTCTCATTGTTTTTCCGCTGCGATCGATTATTGATTTCACAGATCTCGTATTTTTTTTTTCTCCGATCTGTTCGCCTTTGTCTTGCGTATCGCAAACCCTATTTTCTCCGATCTATACTTGTTCTTCTCCGATCTGCACCCGATCTCCTTCGATCTGTGTTAGATTGTTGCAGACTTGTACTAGATTTTTATATATATCGCTGTTTTCGATCAATTTCTGATTTCTGATCCGATGGCGACCATTAACCTTACTGATGACCCGAAATCTCCATACTATGTTCACGCGAGCGATAATCCTGGTGCGCTAATAGTTGCTGAACTTTTTACTGGTGAGAATTACGTGTCCTGGTCTCGCGCTGTTTCTATGGCTTTAAGTGTGAAGAATAAACTTGGCTTCATTGATGGTACACTTTTTGCCCCTAATCCTACACGTAATCCTTCTGAATCTCTTGCTTGGGTTCGTGCAAACAATTTGGTGTTGTCTTGGTTATTGAACTCTGTTAACAAAGATATTCGCCAATCGTTACTATTTTTTTCTGTTGCTAAAGAGGTCTGGGATGAAACTAAGGCAAGATATGCCTTGCCTAGTGGTCCTCGAGTCTTTCAACTTGAAAAGTCATTAAGTTCTATGGATCAGGGATCTCAGTCTATTACCCAGTATTATAACTCCTTCAAGGGCTTATGGGATGAGTACATTACATATAGGCCAATTTTTCATTGTCATTGTGGTGCATTCACTAATTGTACATGTAATATCTTTGATGCCATGACCACTGCACAACAATCTGACTCTGTTATGAAGTTCTTAATTGGCCTAAACGATTCCTATTCTTCCCTGAGAAGCCACTTCTTACTGTCATCCCCACTGCCATCCCTTTCAAAGGTCTATTCCCTTTTACTTCAAGAAGAAAGTCAAAGAAACCTGTCAACCTCATCCAAATCCTTTGATTCTGTTGCCATGGCTGTTAAAACCAATTCCCAATCTACTTTCAAACCATACAAACCTCCATTCCAGAGAGAGACTTACCAGAAAGACAAAAAGAAATACAAGTGTAATCATTGTGGCCTTACCAACCATTCTTCTGATCACTGTTATCAAGTCATAGGATATCCTTCTCACTGGAAGGGTCCTAAAGGTCCTAAAGTTCATGCTGATCATACTACTGTTAACTCAGTCACTACTGTTTCAAATGAACATCTTGTCACTGACAATCTTTTTACTGAGTTCATGGAGTTTAAAAAGTCATTTGAGCACAAACAGGGAGTTGGAGAGCAATATCACACCCCTGTAGTTGCCTCTGCAACAACATCTAACCAAGGTATTTCTATCAATCAAACATTGTTCAATAAATACACTTGGATTTTAGATACTGGTGCTTCTGATAATATGGTCTGTGATTACAACTTATTCACTTCTACCCCTTCTCCAATTACCATTAATGCTAAATTACCAAATTGACAAAGTACTTGTGCTAGTCATGTGGGACAGATAAATCTGGGACCTAATCTTGTACTACACAATGTACTCTTTGTTCCCAGTTTCACTTTCAATTTGATTTCAGTTTCAAAATTAACAATCACAAACAATTGCCTAGTCAGTTTTTTCTCTACTTACTGCAAATTGCAGGAACTGAACACCAACAGAATGATTGGTTTTGCTGAAGCTAAGAATGGCCTATATCATCTTAGTCTTCAAAATAAATCAAACAAGAAGTAAGTTTTTGAAACCACTGTCTGGATGCCTGTTTGAGGCCATACAGACTTTTTACAAGTTTACAAACTTTATTGGAATTATCAGTAATATATCCAGGAGGAGGAGTCATGTAAATATTTTCATCTAAATCACCATGAAGAAAAGCATTATTAACATCTAATTGCTGAAGAAACCATTTTTTCACAGAAGCAATAGATAGAAGTACTCTCACAGTAGTAATCTTAGCAACAGGAGAGAATGTATCAAAGAAATCAATACCTGCTTCTTGGGTATACCCCTTGGCAACTAATCTAGCTTTGTACCTGCCCAATGAACCATCAGAATTGTATTTGACTTTGTATACCCATTTACACCCAATGCAGTTTTTACCAGGGGATAAATCAGTTAATATCCAAGTATTAGTGGCCTCTAAAGCATTAAGTTCCTTGGACATAGCATCTTGCCAATTTGGACCAGTAACAGCTTGCTTATATGTTTTTGGTTCAGGTATAGTACTGATGGATGCAGTAAAGCATGAATGCATATGACTTAACCTGTTTGTGGTTAAATGATTTTGTATAGGGTAAAGGGATGTACCAGAAGTGACATTCTGTGTATCAGTAAAGGAAGTATTTGAGGAAAAAGGTAGGGAATGTGTATATATATTTAGGTAAGAAGGTGGCTTTTTGGATCTGGTAGATCTTCTTAGGGAAGTTTGGGGTATATTTGTTGGTTGTTGTATGGAGATATTTGTCGGTTGTGATGTAGGTTGTGATAAGGGTGTGTTGGCAGGTATGGAATTTGTAGTTGGTAAAGGATTAGTAGATGTGTTTGTGATAGGAGTGGTCTGTGATGGATGGCAAATAGGGTTATCATAGAAAAGGGAAGGTTGTTGTGGAAACATAAGATCAGGAAGTTCAGAAATGTGGTTGTCTTTGAAAGGAAACACAGATTCATAAAATGTCACATTTCTGGTAATCAATGTAAGCTTAGTTTCCAAGTTGTAAAGCTTGTAACCTTTACAACCCAATGGGTAGCCAAGCAAAATGCATTTGGATGATCTAGGTGCAAACTTAGATCTATGAGATGATAATGTGGATGCATAACATAAGCAGCCAATTACTTTTAAGTGATCATAATTCGGCTGTTTATTATAAAGAATTTCAAAAGGACTTCTGTTGTTCAGTGTTGATGATGGTACTCTATTAATAATGTGAACAGCAGTCAAGACAACAATCCATCCAAAATTGTAAAGGTAAATTAGCATGAAAAAGAATAGCCCGAGCTACTTGTAAAAGGTGTTGGTGTTTTATTTCAACTCTCCCATTTTGTTGAGGAGTTTCAACACAACTAGTTTGATGGAGTATACCAGTAGTATGATAGAAATCATGCATGAGAAACTCAGAACCATTATCAGTTCTGATGCATTTGATGGATTTTTGAAATTGAGTTTTAATTATGTTAAAAAAATGAAAAATGTGGTGAGATGTATCAGATTTAGCAAGCAAAGGATAAATCCAAGTTGTTCTGCTATGATCATCCACAATTGTAAGGAAATATTTATGGCCAGCATATGAAGGTACTGAAAAAGGACCTCAGATGTCACGGTGAATAATATCAAAAGGAGAGGAAACTATAGAAGTACTTACAGTATAGGGTAGCCTCCTTTGTCTAGAAAAATGACAAACATCACAAGGATTAACATCAGAAACATTGCCTTTATTTACAGAAATGGGGAGCTGAACAAGTTTGTTAAAAGAAAGGTGTCCAAGTCTATGATGCCAAACAGTGGCATTTGAAACAGAATTATTGGAGTTTGAGAAATTACAAAAAATATTAAAATCTTTATTTTGAAGACTAAGATGATATAGGCCATTCTTAGCTTCAGCAAAACCAATCATTCTGTTGGTGTTCAGTTCCTGCAATTTGCAGTAAGTAGAGAAAAAACTGACTAGGCAATTGTTTGTGATTGTTAATTTTGAAACTGAAATCAAATTGAAAGTGAAACTGGGAACAAAGAGTACATTGTGTAGTACAAGATTAGGTCCCAGATTTATCTGTCCCACATGACTAGCACAAGTACTTTGTCCATTTGGTAATTTAACATTAATGGTAAATTTAACAGTAATTTAACATTAATGGTTATACACAATCCTCTGCTGACTGTAGTTTGTTCATTAAATCATGCAATGATTCCTTTACTGCTTTACTGGTATATGTAGATGATATAATTCTTGCTGGAAATGACATGTCTGAAATAAATTCTGTTAAACATCAACTTGATGTCTGCTTTACTATTAAGGATCTAGGTCAGTTAAAATACATGCTTGGTATTGAAGTTGCACAATCTGAAAAAGGTATTAACCTTTGCCAAAGGAAATATGCATATAATATCTTAACTGACACTGGTTTCCTTGGTTCCAAACCTGCTAATTCTCCAATGGATTCAAATCTGAAATTGACATCTACATGTTCTGATGATTCTAATTTGGTAGATGCCACAGCTTATAGAAAACTTGTTGGTAGACTGCTTTATCTTACCATTACTAGACCAGATTTATCATTCTGCATTCAAGCATTAAGTCAACACATGTCTGCTCCTACACAACAACACTTGAGTGCAGCTCACAGGGTTCTCAGGTACATCAAACACACAATTGGTCAAGGTATTTTCTATCCTAGAAACTCTTCTTTGTCTTTGATTGGTTTTAGTGATAGTGACTGGGCTGGGTGTATTGAC